ATCCAGACCTACTGGCTACTTCCAGTCATTGGACTTCAATATCTATATATAAATTTGGCTTGTCTTGGTGTTTTGGTGTCTGTCTGTTTGTTTGTATCCAATAAACGTCAAAACGGCTGATCCGATCGGGCCCAATTTTTTTTGTGGGACCGCATGTGACCACAGGGAAGGTTTATGTATGATAAAAATTTAAAAAAATGTGTTTTAAAGGTTTTTAATTTTATAACAAAAATTTAAATTCTTGAAAATCCGAGAATTTTTTTTTAAAAATCCGCAACATTTTTTTCTTCTTTGTTTTAAAATGTAAACAAAAAAGAACATGTTCACAATTTAAATAGAAGATGGGCGCGAAGCGCCCTAAAAGCCTAGAAAGAAGGGCGCGAAGCGCCGTGAATTTCTAGTGTTATAGATGTTGAGAAAGTGTTTAACGAAAGTAAGCAGATTGCACAATTTGTGCATAGATCTTTGCGCAGATGCCTATAAAGGGAATTAAAAAAAATTCAGTTTTCCTTGAATACACATTTAGTTTTTGCACATTTTTTTTGCTCTTAAACTTGATTTTGCAATAATATTTGACATTTTTAAGATTTAGGTGTCGTCTTTTAAGATTTATGTGTTTTTCGTTAACAATAACCATGTGGCAGAAGCCGTAAGGAGTTACGCGTAACTCTTTTGGGCTTCTGCCTCAGGCTTATTGTGTACGAAAAACATATGTTGAAAGGACGACAGCTAATGTCCTTTCTATTATTACAATTAATATATGCCGTCATTATAGTCTGAACAGGTGGTCAAAGTGGTCATTGCATGGTCTAATCACATTGACAAAAAAGAGGGGTCTTTGTTTGCAATTATAACGAAATAACTTAATAATTATAATAACATAACTTTAATGAAGTAATATATTAAATCCAAAATCATTATTTTGATAAAACTCAGTATTTCTTGTTTAATACATTTTTCTAAACTTTTCCTTGTTTTCAGATGCTTTTAGTTTAACACCCGTGAATAAGAATAAGAAATTGTAAATTTACTAAAAATATTTAAACCACACGGTTCATTCATCATCATCAGCTGTGTGCACAAGAATTGCCATCTAAATTTGTTATGTATAAGGCCCAGTCACGTCAAGCTTAAGTAAATGCAAGAGAGATTGAAATTTTCAGGCTTTTCATCATAACTCCTCTTATCGAGGATTTATTGAGAACACATATAATAAATCAAAACTAAAGAAGTAACAAGATCACAAAGTCCTACCAGTGATGTCGCACAAATTTTTCCTTTTTCTTCTTTCCAGTTGTCAGTAAACTGGGACGGATATAATGTTATCCAGATTTGTTTCATGTTGGATTATCGTGCGCCTGCGACTATAAACAATTTTAAATAAAAATTTAACGTTTTGATTTAAATACTAAATCTAAAGCAACTCAACATTTTGTCAAGCTACTTGGTTAAAATCGTGCGCCGTGCACAGGCGCACAGGAAAAATGACATACTTACCCAATTTAGATTTTCGGGTAGTTTACACCGATATGTTTAGTTTTACAATAAAAAAAATACATTACAATTGTTCATCTTCAAACTACGCAGTAATAATTCTACAAAATACAAAAACCACTAATGGACACAAATTACTCTCCATTTTAAAAGGAGCATGACCAGCGATGTACGTATGGTAGTTGAACTGAGAATTTAGTATTGTGGAGAAATTTTTTAGAATCCATTTAAAAGGTTTTAATGATGTATAATTATTGAGTTTGAGCGCAAAGTCGACGTTCAAAATCATCTATTTGGGTGGTTACATTTTGAGAATCGATTTTTAAAAAAATATTTAAATAACGACGACAAAAAATGTTTAAAAAAATTTACATACATTGCCGGTTACTCCCTTTCCAACCTTTCTAATAATGGAATGTTGAAGATATTTTTTTTTTAAAATAAACTATTATATTTGGCGTTTAACTGTATTATAGGATCCAAAATGAGGAAAACTAAACTATTATATTTGGGGTTTAATTGCAGGATCCAAAATGAGGAAAATGTTTTGATTTTCTGTTAAAAATGTGTTTAATTCTGATAATTCCCTTCATTGTATTCTACAGCAAAATCCTCACGCAACTTTAAGAGAAAACCCCCAGTTCAAAATCAAAAGTAAACAGTTAAAAACATTCTTTTTATTATTTCATTTCTTACCCCTTCCCCTTTCATCCAGTTTGCTTTACATTTTACAGGGCCGGCTACCCACATAAGATGAGACTTCTAAAACGACTGTACGGATTTATTATTTTTTCTTATCATCCTGGTTCCCATATCATTGAATTTACTTTTTTGTCCAAAATAAACTTTCAAACCTTCTTATTCAAACATTTTCAGGTCGTTGTTAAAATCTCATCCATTGTGGGTATCACATATTCCTCATGTTTATTTCATTTGATACAAATGAGAAATTTTCACGGTTTACAATTTTAAAATCGTTTGTTGTACATTTCACCACTAGATGCAGTGAACAGAAGAAACACCTTTTAAAATAATCTAAACACCCAGATAAAACATGTAAAATAATCTAAACACCCAGATAAAACATGTAAAATAATCTAAACACCCAGATAAAACATGTAAAATAATTTAAACACCCAGACAAAACATGTAAAATAATCTAAACACCCAGACAAAACATGTAAAATAATCTAAACACCCAGACAAAACATGTAAAATAATCTAAACACCCAGATAAAATATGTAAAATAATTTAAACACCCAGACAAAACATGTAAAATAATCTAAACACCCAGACAAAACATGTGTTTTAAATCTTCAAAAAAGTTTGGCGGATTTTTGTGATTAAAATTGCGAGTTTCCTATGATTCAAATCAAAAAATATTTTTATCATTTTGACCTGTTGTCGTTTGACCCTTTGTCGCACTTTTGACCCTTAGTCGTTTGACCCTGTGTCGTTTGACCCTGGGTCGTTTGACCCTTTGTCGGTGAATCAAATGAACTCCTCAAGTTTTTCTCTACAAATACAGCACTTTCAGCTCAACTGCCATGTTTAGGAAGTTCTTTAATTAAATGCATAAATTAGGTTACAAGACGATCTAGGTAGTGATGGTAAAAAGAGTACGAACTGCTGATTTCCACTCAAAATTCCTCTAATCTATAAGACAAAAAGCCTAACCGGAATAGATTTTTTTTTGTCTCGATTTTCGAAATGTCACAAATCTTTTGGATTAACTCAAATCTTAACATAACGTTTATTCTAACCAGATTTTTCGACTGTTTGTCTAAATATTGAAAAAATAACGATCTTTTTTCTAGTTTAAAGTTTAACTTTAATAAAAAAAACTGAAAAAGAAAATTTGTTGTGGCTTTTTCTAAAAGCTCTTCAGCATCTTGTAACGCGAACTGGTTTTTTAAAGGTAAAATATGAGCAGTTCGAACCTGTAAAATATGAGCAGTTCGAACCTGTAAAATATGAGCAGTTCGAACCTGTAAAATATGAGCAGTTCGAACCTCTGTATTTATAAATGCATTATTTTTGACAATAGCTTTGTTAGATAAATTGACGGTAGATTTAATTGATTTATATATAATTTTTTAAAAATCTTAAAAAAAAGGCAGTTTAAAGAATTTTTAGATTCTAATTTCTTGTTTTTTTTCCATTAAATTCTGATATTTTTTCGAGAAAAATGGTCGTTATTTACCAAGTTTACAAAAAAAAAACTCCTTTTTTCAACCAAAATGGGCATTTTATCATCAGTCTATAAAAAGACTGATGATAAAGGCATTGATGAAGAAGTTTAAGAAAAATGAATGAGTCAAAATATATCTGAATAATATCAATTTGAAATTATAAATTTAGTAGTGCTATTTCTGATTCGCTGACAATGGCAACATTTCCAAACAGTGAAAATATGAATTAACATTGAATATAAGATGTTTTATCGCGCTTCTTTTCTTCGCTCTAAACCCAGCCTTCAAGATGCAAAACCATTCGACTTTATCTTTAATACTTATATTTGCATTTTGCATTAATCTTAGATTATGTTCGGTTATTACCCTGTCCCAGGGAGCAAGGAATAGAAGGGAGAGACAACTGACGCGGTTCGCCCTACCATTAATTATACATGCTTTGCAGACGGTACTCCATTTTATATCGAGCTGTTTGGTTTCTTTAGTAGGGCCCTATAGGAAAAATATGTATTGGCGAAACTGGTGAAAGAAAATTGAGCCAATACATATTTTTCCTGTGGGGCCCTACTAAAAAATCAAACAGCTCGATATAAAATGGAGTACCGTCTGCAAAGCATGTATAATCATATGGTAGGGCGAACCGCGTCAGTTGTCTCTCCCTTCTATTCCTTGCTCCCTGCCCTGTCCCCTATATACCATTATCCACATTCCACGACACAAATTACGAAATTTTTTAAAAATTTTATTTCTTGATTTTCAAATAAAAAATTACATATATGCAGGGATGTATTGAAACATATTGGAGGAGGATGTTAAGATTTGCTCTATAATTTGTAATGTACAAAGAACTTAACAATTTGCATTTATTCACTTTTATCTAGACAATATCATTGTGTTAGTTGTGTTAAAACCAAGCAGGGAAGTTTGGAAATAATTTAACGTTTTTCTTTATGTAACGTGAATCATTATTAAAATTTACATACAAAAAAGGTAATTTTTTATTCTCCTATCTGAAAGTCGTTCAAAATTAAGTAAATAAGGATTAACAGGACTTAAGATAATGTAAGATAGAATTAGGATGGATTAATGAGATAAAAAGTGCTGGAACTAGAATATAAAGGATGGGGGCTAGATAATATGAGCTGGAACTAGAATATATAGGATGGGGGCTAGATAATATGAGCTGGAACTAGAATATAAAGGATGGGGGCTAGATAATATTAGCTGGAACAAGAATGTAAAGGATGGGGGCTAGATAATATGAGCTGGAACTAGAATATAAAGGATGGGGGCTAGATAATATGAGCTGGAACTAGAATATAAAGGATAGGGGCTAGATAATATTAGCTCGAACTATAATATGAAGAATGGGGGCTAGATAATATGAGCTCGAACAGGAGCATTCATCATTTCTACATCATTACTGCTTTCAGTTCTGAAAATCAAAGACAAATTAGTTGAGTTTATGTGTGCTGTACATGGTGGCGAATTTAAAGTAAAAAAGCAAAAAATGTTGTTTTTCGTTGAATTTTTTCAAAATTTTGAACCGAGTGTGCGGAACCTCACCGTAATTTCGAACATCATGTTCGTAATTTCGAAAACATTTCGGTAGACTCGATGATGATATGCTTTTAACAGTGTTTGTTGTAATTTTTAGGTAGTTGATCTTCACGTTTAAATTTAAAAAATATCAAATAAATATTTTGTCAATTGATTGCAGGAATGAATTTTAAGAAATAAATGACTTAAACTAGAAACCTATTCAAAAAAAATAATTGCGGGAATAATTTCAAATTTTTTAACCTTTTACGTTTTAGAGCAATTCCGTTTGACCCATTGGCCTGTCCGTGCCCTAAAAAAAAAAAAAAGTAACAAAGGTGAAGAACATGTTAAACAGAATCTTGACAGGGCAGGGGAGGGGGGGGGGAAATACCACTTAAAGGGATTGTTCAATCTATCTCACATTTCATAATCGGAATTACGGTTTACGGATTGCATACGGAAAAACGTTAGAAACATGAAACTTTTTTAAAAGTTAAAACCTGTACTATTCCATACTCATAGATAATAGTATGCCTGGTTTAAACCTGATAAGGTTGAAATTACTTAATGGACATTGAACCAAACTGCTATCCAAAGTTGCATCAATTTTCAAGACTGGATCAACTTTGAAGTGTCGCAACGGCACGCCTTGGTGGTCTTTGATTTTAAATGGTAAATTCACATTAAATTTTATATAAGAGCTCGCAATCTTTGGATCATTTTCAATATGAATTAATGTAAATCAGAATGTGTTGCGAAAAATTTTAACTAAGGTTTGTTTGAATAGAAAAATCTTATTCATGCGATCCATTTGATCTCTTCAGGGTTGACAATCCTTAGAAGATGTGTGTTTACCTGCATCACGGCGGCCTGACCCTCAGCTGGTTTCCATCTGGTTTCCTGAATCCTGGGAGTCACGTTGTATACTCTCAAACAGCATAGCCAGCTCAGGGGTAGACCTAGATAAAATAGATAGATAAGGGTAGATCAGATAGATTGGGGTAGACCTAGATAAAATAGATAGATACAGATAGACCTAGATAAAGTAGATTGATAGGAATAGACCTAGATAAAGTAGATAGACTGGGGTAGATCTAGACAAAGTAGATAGATAGGGGTAGATCTAGATAAAGTAGATAGATAGGGGTAGATCAGATAGATAGGGGTAGACCTAGATAAAGTAGATAGATAGGGGTAGACCTAGATAAAGTAGATAGATAAGGTTAGATCTAGATAAAGTAGATAGATAGGGGTAGATCAGATAGATAGGGGTAGATCTAGATAAAGTAGATAGATAGAGGTAGATCAAGATAAAGTAGATAGATAGGGGTAGACCTAGATAAAGTAGATAGATAGGGGTAGACTTAGATAAAGTAGATAGATAAGGGTAGACCTAGATAAAGTAGATAGATAGGGGTAGACCTAGATAAAGTAGATAGATAGGGGTAGACTTAGATAAAGTAGATAGATAAGGGTAGGCCTAGATAAAGTAGATAGATAGGGGTAGACCTAGATAAAGTAGATAGATAGGGGTAGATCAAGATAAAGTAGATAGATAGTTATCAAAGGTGCATTTTAATAAATTCTTTTTCTCCCTACTGAAAAGGGGGAGAGAGAGAGAGAAGGTAAGTATTTCTTAGTATGGGAATGAGGAAGTGCAAGCTCTTCATGAAACAAAAACACATGGATAGATAGAGGAATGGTTAATTAGATGGCTGGATAGGGATACATTGTACATAGAACTAGAAGGATACAAAGATAGATATAAAGTGGATATAGATTGATGGAAAGGAAGGCATAGAATAAATGTACAAAAATACTGCTATGAATAAATAAAGAAATAGATGTAATAGATATATATGAGTTTATAATAGATATGCATGACGGATGTGTGTATAAACCGTAGATAGAAACAGACGGATATGAATAACAATGTGAAACATAACTAAAAAAAGGAGATGGTTTTCTTTCATTCTATTTAAATGCTCGATGTTCTACCTGATCTGTGTAACAAACTCTCCCAGCTGTGGATGTTTATCTGCGCCTGGAACGGCAAGGAGTGCGGCAACTGCGCGCATTGCGCTGCGCTTCAACTCATCCTGCTTTTCATACTCTTGCTTTACACTGTTAGCCTTCACCTAGATGAATTGATCAATCAATCAATTAATTAATTTGTCTTGTTATTTTAATTTACAACTTAACTTACAACTATCTAGTATCTAGTTCCAATCAATCGAATCAATTGAATACAACATCTAACAAGCTAAGCATTAGTCAATTAGATCAATCGTCTCAAATCTAATCAACGTTATGAACCTTCAATCCTATAAATCAAATCAATCATATCAATCATTTTAACCAATTAAATAATCAACTACGCCGATTTTAAATTATATCTATGAACAACTGAACAAAACTAAATAAATTCTGTGAGCTGGTAAACTCATCTACCAACCTTGAGTGTACATGTCATCTTGAGTGGTTCCACAAGTTTATCTAATCTCTGAAGAACAGCGCCAGGACATAACTGGGATACTCGGGATACCATCAAGTAAGTTAACATCTTGATATCATAGTGATCCTTTAATCCATCCTAAATATTAAAACTGGTAATCTCTGATATCAATGTCTACTGTCTGTTGTATTTTGTCGTTAACTCTTGATTGGTGACTTCTGCCTTTTGTATTTGTCTCTTGTCTTTTGTACTTTATCTTAAAATGTCTCACGTTTATTTTATTTTGTCTTTTGTCCTCTGTCTACAATTGTATTCCCTGTACTTGCCTGAACATGAGTTAAGAACTCAAAGATGTCTAATCTGTCGACACAGGTTTCAAGTAATGTGTACATACATTCAAATGCAGCCTTACGCAGATCTAGTCCGTCATCAACCTAAACAAAATCTATGTACTTTATGTACACTGTGCTGAGTCATTCTTAAAGAGAATGACGAGGTTATTTCAAGAATGGGAGGAAGGCCAGCCACAACAATTTCTAATCCGAGCCACATTCTCCTCATTTTCTCGTCCGAACCACCCTTCGTCCTTCCCACATTATTTCTTTAAGGTGAATAATCCTCCAAGATAAAAATATTTTTTAAGAATCAGGCCAGATATTAAAGGTTCTTCTGAACAAGATTGCATGAGATATTGACCATATTCTCTTTAAAATGTATCTTTAATTGTTTAAAAGGGTACCGATGTAAATCGTGAAATTTTAATTTTATATTAACGTTACAAATAGTGTGTGTTGTATATTTGAATTGTTACAGTAACATGAATGTTAAGAAATTATCGTTATGAAAAAACTAAATCATTAGAACACTCAACTCTGAGAATTGAGTTCAACACTCCTAATTTTCCTTATCGTCACTGTTAAGTCAAAATTGACACTTATAACTTATCTTCACAAATAAATACCTCATGGTTCAAGATCTCAGACCAACTTCACAAGTACCTACCTCATGTTTGAATGGACTCTTCTTGAACTCTCTAATCAACTCTATAAGTACCTACCTCATGTTTAAAGGGTCCCATCTCAACCTCTCTAACCAACTCTATAAGTACCTACCTTATGTTTAAAGGGGCCCATCTCAACCTCTCTAACCAACTCAGGTACCAACCTCATATTTAAAGGGTCCCATCTTAACCTCACTAACCAACTCTATAAGTACCTACCTCATGTTTAAAGGGTCCCATCTCAACCTCTCTAACCAACTCTATAAGAACCTACCTCATGTTTAAAGGGTCCCATCTCAACCTCTCTAACCAATTCTTTCCTTTTCACTGTCTCTTTGTAGAGATGAGGCAAAACATTCTTAAGCAGATCCTAAAAAAAAATGTTTTTTTAATATAATCCTTTTTTTAATTTTGTCGATTCTAGTATTTTTTCTTCATCCCTTGAAGCTGAAACTTAAATCTTTCATAAACCTGTTGTATAAAAGTAAAAATTTTCGGATTTGCTTCAAAATAAATTCATCCTTAGCACTGTTTTGTACTTACCCGAATAAGACTGGGTTTGTTGTGGGCTGCACTGTTAAACGCAACAAGGGCAACTCTTCTTACATTCAGATCTTGATCCTGAAGTGTTGCCAGGAAATCACCTGGGAAAATAATCAAATTTAAAAATAATATTTAAATGATAAATTAGAAAGTTGTCCAGGAACCCCAAATCCCTCGCGAAGGTGTCAAAGATCCCAGATCCCCGGTGAAGGTGTCAAAGATCCCAGATCCTCGGTGAAGGTGTTAAAGATCCCAGATGCCTGGTAAAGGTGTGAAGGAACTACAGATCCATTTTAAAGGTGTGAAGGATCCCCAGACCCCTGGTGAAGGTGTCAAGGAACTACAGATCCATGGTGAAGTTGTGAAGGATCCCCAGACCCCTGGTGAAGGTGTGCAGGACCTACAGATCCATTTTGAAGGTGTGAAGGATCCCCAGACCCCTAATGAAGGTGTCAAGGAACTACAGATCCATTTTGAAGGTGTGAAGGATCCCCAGATCCCTGGTGAAGGTGTGAAGGAACTACAAATCCATTTTGAAGGTGTGAAGGATCCCCAGACCCCTGGTGAAGGTGTCAAGGAACTACAGATCCATGGTGAAGGTGTGAAGGATCCCCAGACCCCTGGTGAAGGTGTCAAGGACCCAAAGTTCCCGTGTAAAGGTCTTGGGAATGGGGAAGCAGAGATCCCTGGTTAAGGTGTAAGAGACGACAAAATCCTTGGCGAAAATTTAAGGCACCAAGATCCTGGTGGAGTGAAGTACAGAGAAATGGGTATATTTGCCTCAAATTTGACTTTAGTGTTCAAAAAGAAGCCCAAAATTTGCAATTCATATTTTTGAGCCTGTAATATAATTTTGATTTTACTGCCTTCCTGGGTAAATCTTTATTTTACAGGAAAATGTCGGTTACCTATACAAGCCCTGAGTAGAATATCTATCTGCTGGGGTTGATCTGTGATGGTAAACTTCATCGCTGTCACAGCAGTGGTTCGGACCAGGGGGGAGGGGGAACCCAGGCTGGCCTTTAGCCTAGTTAAACATCAATAAACATATCAATCAATTTCTCATTATATCAATCTATTTATAGCTAACCCATAATGAATCTATATCATTACATTTCAATTAATTAATCAACCTATTATCATGCATTAGATAATAAACACAGTTAAATCTTAAGCTAATTTAGATATTCCATGATGAACTGACCTCATTCAAATAAAATCAATCGTAGTTAATAAATTCATGAACGTCATTGATTACTGCAAAATTTCATACAGATCCGAGACAGCAAGTGGTCAGGATTTTTGACAACTTTTGCTTGATCCATTTAAATTGCTGGACGTAAAGGGAGACCCACGAAACATACCAAGTAGCAAGACAACTTGAAGGTCGTCTTTGATATTAAGAAATAATTTACGGCATTTATTCGTTAGCCAAATTTTAGAAGTAGAATTCTTGAGTTACTAGAAACAAAATACCTCGAGTCTTGCCATTTCCAAAATATTACTAGAGATATCAATATTGTTTTTCAGATTTCAAAAATTTTGGTTTTAATCTATAAAATTGAAATTGGAGAGAACTTCTCAATATCCGGTAATATGGAAAGCACAACCATTGCAGACCACATTTTAGAAACCCCAGAAATAGGAAAATTTTGTAATAAAAATTATACACGTAAAAGGATGATGACGACGGCATGTCTCAAATAAATTCAAGGAGCGAAGATGACTATAAAATCTTCTAGCTACGGTCATGTTTCGTTTGACACCCTGTTTTTAAACCAACTTGTATTTCGTCCTAGCTCCTTTATTCATTCAATTTCCATCCTTGAGCTTGGTATTTGAATAAATATTTACCTAGGCAGAAGTTCTTCAGGTTTAATCAGGCAGAGTTTACCCAGACATTCAGCAACCACATTCCTAGTCGGAGCAGGATAGAAGACAATCAATCAACCAACCAACCAACCAACCAACCAGTGAAGGTGTNAACCAGCCATTCTACCAACCAGCCATTCTACCAACCAACCAACCAACCAACCAACCAACCACCAACCAACCAACCAACCAACCAACCAACCAACCAACCAACCAATCAATCAATCGACCAATCGTTTACTCATCAATCATTCAAATTAAAAACTAGCCCATCTTTCATTCGTACAATCCATAAATCAAAATCACATAGATACATAAATGCATCAGTTAATAAATTAATTAATCTATCTATTAATCAATCAATTCATCCACATACCGATCAAACAATATAACAATCCAATGAATCCAACTATCCATTAATTAATCTATCTATCCTCCCTAGTTCCCTCCTCCTCTTCCTCTGTATGCCTGTACAACTGATCCCAAATACTCGGTACATAAACAGTCAGTACCTAAACGAATAAGTACATGGCAGATTTATAGTATACATGTTATATGATTATCATAAAAATAATGCCCATTACATATTTCAAGCTGAGACCGTATCTTGCCAACTTACCGGGCGTACTTAAGACGTACTTTGTATGTCTCCGTACCCTAGTGTTAGGGGTGGTGTTTCACCGTGAGTAATTTAAGACGTCATATGTTTGCAAAAAGTAGAGATGGCAAGAAACGGACTCGGAGAAATTAATGAATTAAATATAATCTAAGCAAGCAACATTGTATATTATATCACCATTTATTGGATTACATTGTTCTAATTATATAAATATTGTAAACTAAATCTAAATCATGAATATTTCGTTAAGTAACAAAAATTTAGAAAAATTTGCACAATTTTCTTGATTTTTTTTCTTCTTATGCTTTGTGGTGAAACCATTCACAGAACGAAAGAGCAAAAAGTGTTCTTCTTTTTTAATTAGGTTTTGGTTGATATTCAGCCACTATATTCAAAATATTATATAAACTAACTGAGAGACACAGTCCCCGCCCCCCTTGTTTACCTGTACCCCTGACTGACTGGTGCTCTGTGCTGAGATGACCTCCTTGAGAGAATGAAGGAGGAGATATTGACGCCTGGGTTGCGTATCTATCTCGTGAAGGATAAACGGCATGTAATCCTACACAATAATAAATAAGTAACATAAACAAGAATTTCTGTATATGAATAATCCTTCAAAATGATTTAAAATAAAATATTCTTTTTTAGGTAATAAGTTATATTGTCATTTATGATTTATTTATCATTTTTCAAATCAAAACTTCAAAAAGTAATAATTAGAGAAATGTTTGTTCAAAAAAAAATTATTACTGCCTAGTCTAATCTAAGCTCTACCAACTACCAACCCTCGAGTCCAAAGTGGATTTGGGACCGTCCTACTCTACTTCCAAGCCTAGAGTCCAAAGTGGATTTGGGACCGTCCTACTCTACTACCAACCCTAGAGTCCAAAGTGGATTTGGGACCGTCCTACTCTACTACCAACCCTCCAGTCCAAAGTGGATTTGGGACCGTCCTACTCTACTACCAACCCTAGAGCCCAAAAGTGGATTTGGGACCGTCCTACTCTACTACCAACCCTCGAGTCCAAAGTGGATTTGGGACCGTCCTACTCTACTACCAACCCTCCAGTCCAAAGTGGATTCGGGACCGTCCTACTCTACTACCAACCCTAGAGCCCAAAAGTGGATTTGGGACCGTCCTACTCTACTAACAACCCTCGAGTCCAAAAGTGGATTTACTAAATTAGGATTACAGCTAGCTGCAACTGTCAAGTGTGTTTAAATACTACTAGAACAAAATAGAACACTAATATATTGTAAACAAAAATATTTAGGTTTAGCTTTCTTGTTACTAAAACTATCATTCTTTACCTGTAAATTCCCAAGAGCAACGTTTCCAAGAGCATAGCTAGCAGCAGACTTAACCTGACATTATCAATTTAAAGAACTGAAGAACTCAAGAGTTCAGGTGAATGTCAATTTATATAGTGGCATGTCTGATTTACAACGTAACACATAAGCGTCCCCATTAATAATAAGAAGAAGAACCCAATAATGGCAAATGTTCAAATGTATAGCGTTGTAGTTAAACTAGTCGAAACTAGTACAACTACCCTTTTCAAAATTTCCAATCTCTGCGTCTCAATTTTAAATCAAATTATCACCTCCTCAGATTGATGAGAGAAGGCATTGAGCAGAGTTGACTTGAGACTCGGAACTGAACTCAGATCAGTGCTCCGCCCTATTTCTCCAATAGCAAGGAGGGAGAAGGTTAGGGCGTGACAAGGTTGATTCCCTAGGTTCTCCAGGAACCGTTGAACAACAGCAAGGGCCTAAAGAAACAAAAAGTTAACGAAAAACAATAAGTTATAACCTTTTGACTAAAATATTAAACCTCCCTGAAAGAGAACAATTGCCTATTTAGAATGAAATCCGTAGAATAAAAACATGGAAATTATTAAACAAACAAAAGGATATTTAGAGCTTTAAAATCCTCGTTAATTTCAAAATAAAAAAGGAATCCCACATTTTAGAAAGTTTTAAAATATATTTTTTTGCTTCACTCTTTTCCATTAATCAATCATGTGAACTCAAAGAGGATTATTAAAGTGACTGTAAAGGAAAAATGAAAGGGGGTATAGGCTGAAAGCTAATCACTTTAGCTCTTGATCGCGACCCATGAAAGTTTTATCTGATGTTCCTGTCTCGAGAAATTGATTTAAAACTGTGTTAAAATTATTCGAAAGTTCATATATGTATTTAGAAAATCTTAAACTTAAATCACGTGACCAGAACTATGACCAATGGCAGAGCAGTATACTGGTCTTGTGTCTCCGCCTGTATCACGTGACCACTTTACTGCACTGCCATTGGTGGAATTTCTGGTCAATCAATACGGACGGTTAAATAATATTATGAATTAAATCTATAAAAAATAGAAATAACAAATATAAAATTGGAATTGGAGTAAACCTAAGTTACAATTAGCTTTCTCTGGGATATCATCGGTTTCAGATTGGTTGCATATTTGCTGAATTTGACCCACTACTTTTATACAAAATTGTATATATATTTATTTTCGTATAAATTTGACAAAGTTGTAAATCAGTTTCTCGAGATAGGAACATCAGATATAACTTTCATGGGTCGCGATTGAGAGCTAAAGTGATTAGCTTTCAGCCTATACCCCCTTTCATTTTTCCTTTACAGTCCCTTTAAGTCGTCTCTTCATTTTCATGTTTATTGAGACACCCAGTTCCAACTGAGAGGTATATAAAAAATTCTCTGCATTACGTACAAACTAAACAAAATAAATCTTGACTTTAACTCATGAAATAAATCTAAACCTGCTGTTTATTAGAGGACACAAGACTTGCCACACACTTGGCAATATTTGCCCGACCCTGTTTATGAATATCTGCACCCCTAGCCCCCAGGACCGGGTTGACCAGAAGGGCGAGAAGGTCAGGGTAGGTCAACACAGGACTGTTAGCGGCCACCAGGCATTGAAACAGTTCAAGCATAGCTCCCAAGGCTCCACCCTGAAAAGCAAAAATTATAAAGCGAAACCTTTGAAATAGAAATTTCTCCCATTCCGGACAGTGGCTAGAATCCGGACCACCAAGTATGCAGATCCACGGATCCGAATCAAAAGGGCCAAATATAAACAAAAAACTCAATAAATAAATGTTTTATCTCAAAAACCTTAATCCGTACTGTTGAAAAATACACTTATTAAGCATGTCATGATGTCTGAATGGTTTATTGATGTTTAAAAATTAAAAAAAATCGCAAAATGTACCAATAATTCGCATTCCAAAATTCATTTCTTTATGTACTCTCATAGAAAATATACTTAATGTTTACCTGAAGTAATGGTGACTCTGCTAGAACAAGAACCTGGCTAAGAGAGGATTTCTGGATTAATGGGATGGACTGCGCGTGGGCAAAAGCAATGGAGGTGAGCAGAGCGAGTGCTAGCTGTGCAATATGTAAATCTGATTCACTAACTAGTGGAGGTAGCTCAGCTAACACAGGGGTCAACAGGTCAACACTAAACAAAACTAACTAATTATTTTGGTTCAAAAAGTTTCAACATGTCGTGCCAAAATAATATTATAATAAAGACATGACATGTTTTAATATTAACAGTGCCATGAATTGACATGCTGCGGACATCCAAATTTAATCAGAATTAATTTCGTGCTGTGCAAATTTAATAAACAAAAATTAAGCTGAATTTAATAAACAAATGTTATTTTGAATTCCTTTCCTTTTCAAAATGATTGATTCTTGAAAAAAAATATGTGGAAAAAAAATAAAATCTGTGAGAAAAAAATAGAATCTGTGGAAAAAGAAAATCTGTTGAAAAAAGAAAATCAGAGGAAAAAAAGAAAATCTGTGGAAAAAAAACTAATATGTCGATCTTATGCAGGGATGCATAACTTTCAGAATAAGACCCCTTTTTGGAATTGGTGAATTGGAAGAAAAAACTGAATAATTGGACGTCAAAAGAGAATTATTGTCATCCTTTTTCAAACTTTCCCCACAAAATTCAGCTATTTCTTCAAAATTCTTCCAAATTCTACTAAAAACCCCTTAAAGTATTTGATTTACAAAGAGGGAAAATGAATGATATTTCAAGAACTTATACACCCCTGGTTCTGATGTCGATACATTTTTCAATTCGTGAGTCACAACATTATGAAACTGCTTAGTTGCTAAAAATGAGCCCATTTTGTTTATTTTTATAAAAAACTAACCTAAGGATTGAGCTGTAGTTCTTGACAAGAGTATCGAGAAGAGCCAAGGTTGAGAGTTTAAGAGCTCTTTGGTTCTTCCTGAGGAAGGAGGCTAGCACAGGCAGAATTTCAGATAGAATCACACGTAGGTCGATCCGAAGCGGGGAACTAGCTATAGCAGTCAGCGCCTGCTCACAGTTATTTCAAAATAAAAAGATAAACAGGCGGACACAGTGAAAGAAAAGAAAAAAAGACTAACAGATACCCAAACAGACAACCATACATACTCACAGACATCAAACAGTTAGCCATTATTATGGACGTGAAAACAGACAGCCAGACGGAGAGACAAGCATACACTAAAGCCATAAAATAAGACTGACAGATTGACGAAGGAAACTGACAGCCAGAAATACAGATACCGATCATACTGTTAGACGCAACAGAAAGTCAGACATACGTAGTTAGACACCCAAACGAACAGTTTAACATGCGACTGACCTTAACAGCTGTAAGTCTAGTTATCTCGTTTTTAAGTCTCTCCAGGAAAATAGGAAGACAGTTCGGTAGCTCCGACTGTATACTGTCTCCTGGTGGTTAAACACAATCAATTTAAGTTTAGTTTAAAAACATTTAATAAAATATTACTGCTTAGAACCAGGTCGGACGTTAAATAACGCCTCAAATAATATTACGCCCAGGTAGTGTGACACTTCTTATAATTTACCCGACACCCCGACACTGTTAATGTAAGAAGGCACAGATTTAGAATCTGCCGTATGTGGACATACTGGTAAATAAGTTTTTAAATGTAGAAAATGATATTTCTCTAATATCGTCTTCTTTTCAAAGTATCTAAAAACATGGATATTTTAATTTATATCCCTAGCTCTAGTATATAAAAATTATTGTCACCGTAAAATGTAATTTGAAATTAAAACAGAAATACACTAACCCTGGCATTATCTCATACCCTGACGTTAATAAACGTGACATTGAATCCATAATATTTAGACTTCTAGGGTCCGTATCAGGATCTACGTCTTAAAATATCAAACAAAATAATGTAGACCGAACTTTTGTTTCGTGTTCGTTGTAATATTGAAAACTTAGCTTATTTAACCTCAATTTCATTTTGGTAAATACAGTTTTAAGCAATAATAAATGGATCCTTAGGACTGTAAAACAAACAATAATAATGAATCACTGACAAAAACTAAATAGGAAATTAGTGTTTAAACCAGTAACAAGCATTTAGTTTTTAGTTGCATGTAAAATCAAATGAAATGGCGGAACATGGTTTCCTTGATTTATCAATTGATCATAGTTCCTAGATGAGCAATAATTTGACCCATGCAGGAGATAGCTCGTTCCTTCACTTCCTGATCAATATCTTGAGCTCGTAGCCTAGTAACCAGGTAGAAATTAGATATTACAGAAATAAGTTTTATCTAGTAATCTTCAGTAGATATTGTAATATTCAGTAAAGTAAAGAATAAGTTTTGACAGAATTTTGATATGTCTGATTTAAAATGTGTTTTTCTAATCTGAACTTTTTAGCTAACTGTTTAAAACGTTTAAGAAAAAATTTGCAAAATAGAACAAATCTTTATAACAGACTTTAATCGGTGTGATTAGCCAAACCCTTCAACTTTTCATAGAGATTTCATGTGAGAAACTAATTATATACAATAAACATGCTGTTCACTGACAAGATATAACAGGGTTTCCCAAATAGGATTAGACTTCAAAGACAACAATACAGCATGTGTTCAGTCATATCTATAAATAAATAGTTCCCTGCAGTTGTAACCTTGTTTCTCTTTTCTGCCAACTCATTTATCGAGTGGTGGATCGTCATCACAATCTCATTCTTTGTGTGTAACCAAGTAACTCAGAATGTTGAAAAGTTAAAAATGTTTGTGTTAAAGAAAATAGAAAAAGTGAACTGGACAACCTGAATGGTAAAACGACTGAAAATATTAGAAGAACGGATTAAAACAAAAGTCTGATTTCTAATTGTCCCTGGAGAAACAGCACTGATATATTGACGAGGTGTATCGGGTGAAGTCAAAATCAGTTGGATGGGAATCCAAAGGACGCAGAACCTAAAATTAAAGAATAAAAAAATCAGATATTTGTTTCTTTAAATGTTTGGAGAAGCATCTTATAATTTAACCGTAACGGTTGAAGTACGTTCAGGTGACCCTCTACTGGCAAGTCCGACTCACAACCGTACTCTGTGAACAATAAACATCTATCCCAATAATAAGAATGAGGAAGCCCTAGTCCTTTTCTATCTTGACAGTTTTACATTCTCAAATTTCCGTCATTGTCTCANGCCGGCGATTCAGTTTTAAATTATCTAATATCAGATAGGTAGATAGATAGATTTAGATAATTCTAAACCGAATTGAACACAAAACTATGTTATTCTGGTAAAAATTTAATTTTTCTATTCCTTCTAAAATAATTTTAAAGAAACTAACATCAGCAGGCATGTACAAATTATATTTTAGGAAAAAATCGCAAGAAATTTTGGCGGAGGATATAGAAGGGGTGCTACTAAGAAGCGCTAAGGTTGAGCCCGTTGCTGCAACTCTATGTTTGTGAGTAATTTGCGGGATGGAGGCTATACGGGTGCGGCTTGCCTTCTCCCCCTTGAAGGGGTGGGTACTTAATATTACGTCTACAGACCCTTAAAGATGTAATTAATGTTTTTAAGGATTATTCTGAGACCTACCTTTACTAGAAGCTGAAGAACGAGCAGAGCCTCGCTTGATATTTTGTAGAAAGTATCCGATACACTGCTGATTACAGCCGGTACTACAAGGATACAAGGATACAGGGGTTTAAATAATATATATAGAATGTATTCGATACACTGCTACAAAAAAAATTCAGTACAAATTTGTATTTTTTCTTTGAAATCCCAAAACCTTAGAAAACCTAGCGAGTGAAAAAAAATGAATTAACGTCAAAACGGGTCAAATTACTTCCTTTTGGACAGCTGTTAATGTTACAATTAACCAAAAGTTTCAAACAGTGCAAGATCTTGAAAATAAGATTTAGCTGTTTCTCACGTATTCAATTCACTGAATCAGCATCAGTTTATTAGTTTTTTTTTTGGCTCATCGAGTTCAGGCCATTTAGAGAAGGGCAATCTTATGCTTTCATTCATTATAATTTCGTCTTTTTTTTTATGGGAAAGATAATAGTTTACTTGACGGTGTGGAATGTTATTGTAGGGTTGATTTACAATTCTCCAGCTGGAGTTCTTCCCCCGGATATTCAGAAAAAAAATCTTAGTATATTTACCTAGTATATCAGTGTGAGGATGGAACACGGTAGGGTGATGACTGGACAACAGAGCCTAATCAATCAATCAATCATTTAATCTTTAAATCAACAACTCAAGATATCAATTAATCGACCAAAATCATGTCAAATCTTCATAAATCTACCTATAAATTAATCGGACGAAAGATCAATCATTAAATCAACCAATAGTAAATCAGTTATCAACCCATTACCTGAACCAAAATAATCGATAACAAATTATCAAAGTGAGCATATGATTAATCAATTTACAAATCAATTTCAATTTTAATCAATGACCTCAAATCAGATCAATAATTTAATCAATTAAAAATTTATTAGTTAAATAAGTGATAAATAAATGAGGTAAATGAATCATATAATGAAGTGAATAAATTATATAAATGATAAATAAATGAGGTAAATAAATCTGATAATGAGGTGAATAAATTAAATAAATGATAAATGAATAAGGTAAGTGAATCAGATAATGAGGTGAATAAATCATATAAATGATAAATGAATGACGTGAATAAATTAAGTTTATGATGAATGAACGATGAGGATGAAAAGATAAATGAATGAATGGATCCCTGCTACCTGAATGAAGGCCAAGGTATCAATCTTCATGTTGCTTGATCTCTGCTTGTCCTTGAGGCTGAACTGTATCCCAGGAATGATTGTTGGGATATGTGAGGACAGAGCTCCAGGGAGAACCAGAATCAACTTAAAGGAATTGTTAAAACTTTATTTTAAGTCATCTTTTCATCATAAGGAATCATAACAGTCGCTTTATTCTTTAAATTTCGGTAAAAATAATAGATGGAAAAAATCTTGCACTTACTGCAGGAAACTAGAAAACTAGGAGAAGCACTGCAGCATTTTACACATTTTATTTGCAGGCACTTACTAAACTACAAAGAATAACAGAAATAAATGTTGTTTTTTTAAAGCAAATATATAACATCTAGGCGGTTTAACAAATAATTGTTGTATGAAACTCTAAAGTTAACTTGTGTAGAATGTAAATTGTAAGAATTAGAAAAGGCTTGTCTGGTGGGAGATTACATTGTTTTAAGAAGTTTAACCGACCTCCATGAGAAGGGAGAAGCAACCTTGTCTGGTCTTAATGGATTTCTCTCTCATCTGTCGATGAAGAGCCTTTACTATGTTAGGAACCTAGATAAAGCAAGAGTTATGTGGAATGATATTCCATATGAAATCAGAACCATTTAAATCAATCAATTAATCCCAATCAATAAATCAATCAATCGGTTATTCGTTGAAATCTATCAATGGTTCAATCTTATAATCGTTCAATCATATAATGGTTCAATCATATAATTTTTCAATCATATAATCGTTCAATCATATAATCGTTCAATCAACGGTTCCATCCAGGTTATCCTTTCTACACATTCAATCTTTTTAATCAATTCAACCACTTCAACATATTAAACTATTTTAATCAATTCAATCAATTCAACTAATTAAACTATTTTAATCAATTCAACTAAGTAAATCATTTCAACTAACTCAAGTAATTCAACCTTTCATGAAACAAAAAATTACGAAATTTTCAGAAAAAAAACGAAATCGTATCCAATCGCATCAAATCGTATCATATCGTACCAAACCAAACCGCGTTAAATTAAATCTTATCTCTGTAAAATTGTAATATATAAAAACTGATCTCTAACCTGGGCCTGGAGTAAAGAAACTGGTCCCTCCTCAGCATCCATTACATTTGAATCCTAAACATGGAAATTTGGAATAATAATATCAAATATTATCAAATATTATCGAATAGTATCGAATAGTATCGAATAGTATCGAATAGTATCGAATAGTATCAAATAGTATCAAATAGTATCAAATAGTATCGAATAGTATCGAATAGTATCGAATAGTATCGAATAGTATCGAATAGTATCGAATAGTATCGAATAGTATCGAATAGTATCAAATAGTATCAAATAGTATCAAATAGTATCAAATAATATCGAATAGTATCAAATAGTATCAAATAGTATCAAATAGGATCAAATAGTATCAAATAGGATCAAATAGTATCAAATAGTATCAAATAGTATCAAATAGTATCAAATAGTATCGAATAGTATCGAATAGTATCAAATAGTATCAAATAGTATCAAATAGTATCAAATAGTATCAAATAGTATCAAATAGTATCAAATAGTATCAAATAGTATCAAATAGTATCAAATAGGAGCAAATATAAGAAGTGCCATGTACGCATGGAAAATATCAGCTTTCACATTCTCTTCTCTCTCTTTAAATCTAAAAAAATGTATTTTTTTATACATTGAAACTAGTGAATAATGATAAAAAAGTTTAACAAAAGTTCAAAAGTATTCGTGATTGTTTTTAAACAATCATAACCATCGCAAGGACTTGTTTTTTTAATTAGTAGATTATTTTAAGATCTTACAACAGCAAACTTTCAAAACATATTTTTTGTTACTGTGCATTTGCATATTAATATCAACTATACATTGATGCTGTTCATATAAGAGCTTTAATTACTGGCACTGTTTCTATAAAATATGATCAAGTATTTAAAAGATTTCCTTTAATTACATAAAAAAGCCTTGGACTGGAGAACATTCACAATTATTGCTATAAAGTGGTAATAGTGGTGTTGGGACATTTTTTTTAAAACAATTTATTATTTTTGAATTTTTAATCTTATACATTGGATACAGTCGATACAGCCAAATTCTGATTTGACAGGTTTTATAGAGACATTTCATAGACATGACATTCATACAGAGGTGTATATAATTATTTTTTTTCTCTTTCCCCCACGCTTTAATTTTCATTTGATTTCCTTCCTCAAATTCAAAATCTAGAAAAGACATAATCTTTCAATATTTATATTGTGTTGCATAATTTTCCACAAAAAGTAATTATAAAAATACCTTGCTATGAGTTTGGGTGAGATCTCCTGATAAAAGGATTCAAGTAACTCCTGCCTATATAAACCAAAACAAACACTGATATTTTTATTCTAAATGAATGAGCGAGGATTTTAATCTGTTCTTCTGGCTCTTAAAGACATTTATTATAATCGGCAATTTTCTAGCGAATAAGTCAAATTAAAAAAATTGCCATTTACTAGGGAAAAATTTCCCATATTCTATTTATACTATGAGGATGTGTGTATGATCTATGGATCTTTTAATTCTTGATGTTCAGGTTGAATCCAAAAACCCTGATATAAAGATGAAGATCTATTCCAATATTATTTCTCATTTCCTTCTCTGCGCAAAGGAGGAATGGTGTTGCCCCATCATGTTAATAGCTGAATAATACCTGTGGATCTAGGTATCATATTCTGGGAATATGCTAATTTTCCCGAAATGGGCACAGTGCACTCATGAAAAGCATGACACATAAAAAGAAGAAAAGGCGTTTGAGTAACTCAGTCAGTAAGTTGTCACTAATACTTCAAACTACCAAACAGATAGTGCTTTAAAGATCGAATTGGTCGACAAGACCTATGACACCGGTGTAAGGCTGTGGCAGAGTACGCTTCGGGACTTAGATCCTGAGTCACATCCAAGTAGTACTTCATCCTGTTAGGGATGGCCAGGTTGGATCAGACTTTTAGTTCTGGCCGGGTGCAATACTTATCCTTCATCGGAGGTTTGGGTTTCTCAAGATAGGGAAACTTCCAGATCAATCGCTTGTACATCTCAAAAAACTTATGTATTTCATTTTTAATATTTTGCAGTTTTAATATTTGCAGCATGTCATTTGTTGTAAACAAAAAATTAAGAAATTTGATCTTTCAGTTTTTGATAGTGAAAAAAAGCATTTGTTTGTTTTCCTTGTTGAGATTATAGCTTCAAGACACTTTGCTGCAGCACGGCGTACTTTCCAGGATACATCATCATCATCAGAATACTCATCATCAGAACCATCCTCATCAACCTAAACACAATTATCATCATCAGAACCATCCACATCAACCTAAACACAATTATCATCATCATCAGAATACTCATCATCAACCTAAACATAATTTACATTATCAGAATACTCATCATCAGAACCATCCTCATCAACATAAACACAATTATCATCATCAGAATACTCATATCAGAATTATCTTCATCAACCTAAACACAATTATCATCATCTGAATACTCATCATCAGAATCATCCTTATCTACATAAACAAACATAATTATCATCATTAACAAAATTATCAACATTATCATCAATATTATCATCAACATTATCATCAACATAATCATCAACATTATCATCAACATTATCATCAACATTATCATTAATAATGTGATCAAAATTATCATCAACATAATCATCAACATCATCATCAACATCATCAACATTATCATCAACATTAACATCATTAACATTATCATCAACATTATAAATAACATTATCATCATTAACAATGTCATCAACATTATCATCAAAATTATCATCATCAAGATTATCATCAATATTATTATCAAAATGATCATCAACAATATTACCAATAATATCATCATCTTCATTATTACCATTTATTTTCATTATCATAATGATTTTTATGATTTCTTTTTAAAACATTCACTCATTCCTTCTTCATAGATTTGATGTAAATTTTTTTTTTCATTCACAATTTGAAAAATCATTTCCTCGACCATAAATTCAATCAAACTCCTAATCAAGAATTCATTAAATAAATAATTAAGGAAATTAATCAAAAAACCATTTGGGAATGAAATCAGTCAATCCATAGAATCAATCTAAAAAAAATTACGACATACAATCAAATTCCTTTAGATCAAGAATTGAAATTCTTCATGAATTACTCAAAGTTAAAGATGGCAATTTTGTTCTTAACAATATTGTGAATATTAAGATCTTTGATATTTTTAACTTGTTATGTACCGGCAAATAACTTCTATTTTTTTATTTTTTTTTATCATAATTTGTGTATTATTTTAAACGTAAAAAGGAAATTTACAAAAAAATTATCTTTTCCTACCTCATCATCGCACTCCATATCACTATCATCCTCGTCGTTATAGTTGTAGTTTGGATCGTATGTGAGGTACTTGAGACAGAGTTTTGTTATCTCCGGTATATGAGGACTCATCTCACTTCCACACTTGCAAACCATAGCCTCGCACGCCTACAGAATACGAAGATAACTTTCAACTAAAAAATGTATGGCACTTGTACTAAAGAAATCTGGAAAAATTATAACGAATAAAACTTTTTTTAAACGAAGAAATTGGACCCGGGACTATTAGACGTTGTGGCACTTGTCCTAAAGAACTCCAGAAAAATCAGTGCTTAGGATCCCGATCCGTAACATTTTGGCTTCCTTCCTGGATCCGGATCCGGAAAATATGCGAATCCTAATATGCGGCTCCAAGGGGCAAAAACTGAAAACAGAATTCTTTTGCTCTTAAAATAGTTGAATAAAATATGAATTATGAATGAAAACTCAAATTCAAACTGTTAAAAAAGGGACTTTCAAAAATTCCCTTATCTCTGAATGGTGTATTGAGTCTTGGCATAAAAATCAAAAATAAAGAAAAATAATTAGAAAATTTTTAAATTGTTAAAAAAAATCAATAAATCTAAGACCTGGATCTGGATCTTGGCCGGATCCATCAAAATTAAATAGATCCTAAGCACTGAAAAACATTATAATGAATGCAACATTTTGTATCTAAATAATTGGACCCGGAACTACTGGAGGTTAAAGCACTGGTCTAGTAATCCAGAAAAATTATAATGAATACAACATTTTTCAAACGTTGTTATTTTTATTAATGCTTGCTCAAGTTGGAGCCTAGATATTTGTCAGTAAACAAGCTTTTTGGACTTCATAAATCAAAAAATGTTGCTTAGATATGATTGTCGCAATCTTAAAGATTTGCCATTTAAACATAACAAGCCTCGTGGAATTAACAATGGTCTAAGTCTTAAAAATCCAATTTCAAACGAGTCTGTAAACCCATATTCCCCTTTAATTGGACACCCTGTCCATACATTAACAATTTCGACACTTTACTTGATACAGGTGAGATATCCTACCTGCAGAACATTCTCCTTTAGTTCATCATCTTCTTCTTCAGCAAACCGTAGAACTAGGGGCATAACCCGCTCAACATGATCTCCAAATCTTAAAGAAATAATACTGGGATTATACTTTCTGTTTACCAAGCTTTAATGCAACAATTTGGTTCATGTAAAAATCGGTACTTTTTTGGAAAATTTAGTATTTATGTTTACAAAACCTTCAAACAAATGTATAACTTTCATTCGTGGTCCATGTTTTTAAATCATTAATTCACATTGGAAATTCAAAATTTTATAAAAACCAGTTTGGGACTTTGTACTTAATTAAGTTTTAATAATACGGGAAGAAAAAAAAGAGGGGGGATGAGTACCTATGACCGGCTTGTCTACAGACTGCTCCTAGTGCCTGTATAAAGGTCCTGGTGGTGGTTGTAGAGTTAGATTTACCAAGCTCCTCCATCAATAGGCTCATCAACTAGACAAACATGCTAGTCATATTGATATCTATATTCTATACATTTCTTAAATAGACATTTAAGAAGGTGCTTTCCCTAGAATAGATCATGATGGATAGAAACATGTAGAATAACTAAATAGATATACTCACACTAAACAAATATTAGATCTTTTTGATTTATAAAATTTTATTTAATTCACATTGAGAAATAAATCTTACATGTACAATGTACATCCAAGAAGAAAAAATACTAATTGAAATTGTTGAATTTGTTTATCATGACTTTAAGATAATTTACAAACATTTTGAAAGTGCTAACAAGCTGACCGTGGAAGAAGCTGAAATGTACTTTTTGCCCAAATTTCTCTATGTACATAAAGCTATATATTAACCTAAAAATCAACCCAATTTTTGATTTTGCATTTATTTTTCTTGGATGCACATGTTAGATTTAGAAAAATAATAAGAATGAAACCTTAATGATCAAATAATCAAATATAGAAATATCAATGAAATTTATAATACAGATTACAGGGTGGATAGAAATATCAATGAAATTATAATGAATAATAATAATAATGAAGATAGGTCAAGAAAAGTTTAATTGGAGAGAGTAATACAATATATAACTCTTCACAAATAAAGCACTGACCAATGTACAGCAATTTATTTACCTTTATATAAAGTATTTGATCACATGACATGACCAGCTGACTCAGGCAGATTATAGTTCTCTTCATGACCGCTACACGCGGAGATTTCAACTGCGGTTGAAGAGATTCCAAAAGGTTAGGATGGAATTGAACCAGGAGTCCTCCAAACCTAAATTTAGTTGATACAGTAACTAAAAAGGACTGTAGACGGAATTATTTCAAGTGACCCTTACTTTATAGAACGCAGGCTTAATTCACAACTTAAATGTTGATCAGAACAAAATTAGTAAGATATTAATTTTTTCTTCCTTTAACACATAGTGTTGGATTTGACCATGAATTTCCATCCTCGACCCTGATAAAGTAGTCCGCAAATCAATATCTACAGAGAAACTGTGTTTAAAAATTATCAAGGACCCCCAACACATTATGGACCAAAGTATTAGTCTGAGGCTGTTCAATTTTAGTCACTTTTCTAACTAAGACAAACACCTCACTTCAGGCTAAAAGCTGGACTCTAATACCTACTTCCCGAGTACTGAGGCAAACTGCCTGAATGTCTTATTTTGCACTTTTTTGAACAGACGCCTTTAAAATGAAATTAGAATTTTCGTTAAACAGTGGAATATCTTCTTTATTATCAGGTTTTCCCTTCTTTAAATGGAAGATCACTTAAAGTGTTAATGAGTCCTACTTCACACCCCTAAATTAACACTTTTAAACTACCTAGAGAGTAGATCTGCAAGAATATCAAGAGCTTCAAGCTGAACAGAGACATCATCCTGCTGAGCTATAGCAGCAGACAATCGACCTAGAAAACAATTGTATTCAGTGATAACCAGAAAGCTCTAGAGTAGTTATGACTTCAGATAATCAAATGAAGATGAGACACAGCAATTATTGCAGTGTAAAGAGACCCACTATTTCAATTAATAATAACTTACGAATAAGGCTATTAGCTTTGTAACAACATTAAATGAACTTCAGTATTACTAAAATATGTAGATGAAACCCTGTATTGAACTACAATCTGTAGATGAAACCCTGCATTGAACTAACCTGTCATAGTAAATCTGAAGATGAAACCCTGCATTGAACTAACCTGTCATAGTAAATCTGAAGATGAAACCCTGCATTGAACTAACCTGTCATAGTAAATCAGTATATGAAACCCTGCATTGAACTAACCTGTCATAGTAAATCTGTAGAAGAAACCTGCATTGAACTAACCTGTCATTGTTTTACAAACGCTAGCAGCCAGAGTAGTAGTGGTCAGAGGTAGCTCGTTAATAACTGTCTAATAACAAGAAAAAAATTTAGTTATATCGTCATGAAAGAGCTGCAAAAGGTCGTTAAACTACCTTCTGCTGGTTCAAATCCTGCATTAAGGATTTAAAGTTTAAATATTCATAAGGATTAAGGTAATGAATTGGAGAGTGTATTAGTGATTCAGGATTTGAACCGGCGTATGTAATTCAGTGGCCTCTTCCTATTTTGGTCACTGCAAGAATCAATGAACTTCGCCGAGCACCCTAAACTAAGGTTTCGGTGCGTTCTGCAGTACTATGCAATAATCTGACCGAATTTAATTTTTTTAAGTGGAGAGTGATGGGAGCTGTATCCAAGAAAATAGTATTTTTAAAACTCTTGCAACCCTACTCTCTCCTTACCTTGAGTCCAATGGACGAGATATCTCTGAGCTGCTCGTTTTCTCCGACCATATTACTACACAAATGGTCCACAACATGCTCAACCTAACAAAAAAACTTCAATCAATCAATCATAAAATCCAGTGTTTCGGATCCGTATCATTTTGATGCGGATCCGGATCCGCGGATCCGCATCCGTGATGATGGATCCGCGGATCCGCATCCGTGATGATGGATCCGGATCCTGACTCTGATACGGATCCGGATCCGAGGTAACTTTTGATTCTGTGAAGTACTCATAGACCCCTCCTAACTTCGCCTTTTTATAAGGCGGCATTCTCTAATCTCGACTTTAATATGGTCTGAAATATGTATAAAGTACGGTAGTACCATAATGGGTGGAACTAAATACAATTTACATAAATTAAGATATATTTATATCGATATATTAATAATTAATATAGTCTAATTCAGCCCTAGCTTGTTCCGATCACGTTCATCTTTTAAAAATGAATACTTTATATATTTAAAATTTGCGCCATGTGAGCATTTGCCGCTGAGTAATCCTAAAGTTAAAAATGTCGTCATTACTATTATATAAATGTAAACATTAAATTATTAAAGATAATTTTGAAAAATTTTTCTTCTCAAGAAGATTAGTTATCTGGTAGGAAACCCCCGCCATGATTGTTCACTATTCGATCCAGGGATATCACAGCAAAATCCAGAATCTGAAAAATGTGACAACTATCATCATTTAAAGCATATTATTTTTACAAGAAAAAATCCTCTTTAGACAGTACAGTGCATGTACATATATTTTTGAGAAAGAGAATTAACAATTAATTTAATCTCATTGAGTAGGCAAATTTCAGATGTTAACAAAAGATCAATGGAAAAGTGATAATTTCCTTAAGAACGATTTTCACCCCCCCCCCCTTCTCAAATGTAATATACTAAACACATGGTCAAAGTTAGGCATGTGGCCGCAGCGCGGTGCCCCTTTTTTGTCCTAGACACGGCTCTCGTCCCAGAAAGCGTCCTAACCTAACCCTAAAAAACTAAAGTGGTTGCAGCGCTCGGCCCCATAGTCGTGGCGCTCGGCCCCCTAGCCTCAACACTCGGCCACCTAGCCTTTCCTTAATCTTTAACCTTACAGACCATAGGACCAAGGCACCTAAAAATATGATAAAATAAAAATAAAAATTTCTGAACAATTCAATATCCCTGTTAATATCAAGTTCAATTCAAATTCATATCAATTCTATCGGTTCATGATCAACTCAGCTTGTTTAAATTTTCAAAATAACTCTCTCAGTTTATGCTTAAAACCACTCTCTCAGGTTTTAATCAAATATACTCTGCCTGTGGAAAATAAATTATCAAAAACTCGTTCAGTTTATGCTTAAAACAATTATCTCTGTTAATGGTTCAAAGATAAAAAAATCTCTTTTGTTTATGATCAATACAACTTTGGCTGAATAAAAAAGTTTTAAAATATTGCACCACAATTCTCATTCCTCAAATGCTGGGGGGAGGTAGGGGCGGGACTTTCGAAGAGGAAAATATATATTTCAAGATAAAACATCGATATAAATGTTTCTAGTTACCTGACAGCCAGGTTTTGAACTTCTCCATTTTTATCCTCCAACAACTTCAACAGCATCTTCACTACCTAAATATAACGGTAATTTTACACATTGACTTTAGTACAATTTTATAAAACATCATTTCCCCCCTTCTTTAAAAAATAATTTTTTCTCTCATAAGTTAGGTATGGTTTAGGGTTTTCTGACGAGGGGGAATTAACCAATTTTTAGGATGAAACAAAAGTTTTGAGGAAACAGTATCAAAAAAGGATGAATAAAATTTCCTTTTGATGAAATTTTTACCCCCCCCCCCCCCTTAAAAGAGATATTTAGAAATGAATTGAACAATCGTAAATCTTTTCTACAGTAGGATTTCCAACATTGTGGCTTCCTGCATCAGGAATCAGGATCGACAAAATGTGCTCTCAAAAAACAAATCTCATTGTTAACTAATAAGCGATGAGCTAATCGTGAAGAAATATTTAATGACTTAATATGGATCCAGTTTATTCAGGGAGAATCCAGCATGCGGATCAGCTTCTAAATATAATGGATCCGAAGCACTGAATTTCTAGATTTTTATAGTTGCTTGATTAATTATTTGCTGAACTAGTGCACTTCAGGAGAAGGAACAATATATTAGGGCAATCAGAATTACACTAAGAAAAGTGAATTGTTAGGATTTAGCTAGATTTAAATTTTCACTCATGAGTAATGAGTTAGGAAATTTGCTAGTCATATCCGTATTTGTTTATTTATTTATTTATTTAATGATTTATTGAATTATTGATGTATTGAATAATTGATTAATTGATTTATTTATTAATTAACTGATTCATTGATTTATTGACTGATATTATTATTTTTCTTATTATCAGCATCAATGTAAAGACTGAGATCATCTGAAATGAAACAAATTTATTCTATTTTCCCTCGTCTTTGAGGTAGAAATCTACAGTATATTTAATTTTGATAATATAATATTAGATCAATAACTGGGGATCATTCCGAAGAGCAGATTCTGCTGGCCGGTCAACTTTATCTAGACAGGTAAATAAAATGTTTAGCGCTGAGGCTTCAATTACAATTAAGCAAAACAACAAAAAACGGAGATGAGGACACCTATACAATTACAGGGTGATCGTGCACTGTCTTATAATGGCGCAAGCCGCAAATATAGCCACTCGTAAACATTCTTTCAAAAGAAGCGCCGTAAATGGTCGGGCAAAGGGAGGAAATGAGAAAGAGAAACTGCAGACATGCAGATGGAGAAAGGAGAAAAAAGCTATGCCTCGTAACATTTTAATTTCATAAAAATTATAAAAAATAAAGTGTAAAACATTATTAAGAAAGGTTTAGCTGAAGTCAAAATGCGTGTATTAAAGGGAGTGTTCGTGAAAAATGAAAGGGGGTATAGGCTTAATGCGATAAAAAAGCGCTTTAGATCGCTACTAATCTTACTTCTATCTGTTGCGTCTATAAGGAGAAAATTGT